ATTTATTTGCAGGTGTAACAATTGGGTGGCTCATGATGTGGTCACTGGTCAGGATGACCCTTTCTTTGTTTCCTGCAAGTGTAGAGAATTTTTATTTTAGACAGTGGTTGTGTTTTGGTGTATGAACATAGCTATCTATGTTTTCTTGGTAATGTAAGTGAGCTATTGACAAAGAAAAAAATCATAACTTTTAACCAAACTACTAGATTAGCTACGGTGGAAAGTGGTGTTTGTAAAATCGTGTCTTATTAGTGGTTAGATTGGAAAAACTGTCTATTAGAGTTTAAGTCGGTAAGTATTTTAAATGGTATGAAACAATTGAATCACGATTAAATCATGATTGCTATTATGAGACAATCCAAGTATCACATCGGAAACACAAGGGAAGGAACCCTTGTATAATAGTGCCTGTTGAAATTTTTTATGATGTGAATGAGAATGAAAGAGGAGAAGCCAAGAAAAACTCTTGAAATACCATATTGGTTATATATGGGAATGAGGCCTTGAATTCAATTGATTGAGATGATTGAATCTTTTGATAATTGGTCAAATTGGTTCGTGTAACCAACTGAACGAAACCAATATTAGGATTATATGTATTTGGGGTTTAAATCATATATGTTATTGATACTATTAGAGTATATATATATATATATATATATATATATGGTGAGTTCTATGGTACCCCGGGTGAAATCCGGGGTACCGCATACCCTGAGTATGAAAACGCTATCTAGACCTCGAATTAGCAGGGTTTTTGGGCATGATACTATACCCTAGCCCTTAATGAGTGAACCCTAGGTCCTAATTATCTAAATCATAAACTATAAACTCTAAGATGGCGCATTGATTTTTTTGCCTATATTTGGACGAATCATAACCGTCGATTATTATTTCTAACTAAATTGATCTTGGGGTATAAGATTAAGTGAATTAAGACCTATATTTTGATCTTTATGGATTAGAGTATAGTATCATGTCCGAAAGATCAGTCAATTCGAGGTCTAGATAGCGTTTTTTTACTCAAGGTATGCGGTACCCCGGATTTTACCCGGGGTACCGTAGAACTCACCATATATATATATATATATATATATATATATAAAAGGAGTAGTCTATGAAGCTAATTGAGGTAAATACAAATAGCTACAATTGATGATGAGGCTGGATTTGTGGTGATTAAAATGAATTAGTTATGATTTTGAATATCAATTAGTATGGGGTGTGCATTTGTCTAATATTAGTACGGCATTGAGACAATAGTGGTATGCATTTATTCTTTCTCAAACTTTGCCATCTACAACCCGAAAGGGAATCTTCAAATTCCAATTGAAAAATATATTGAGGGGTTGTTTGGAGAACTGGATTTATGTAGTGGATTTACTGAATTCGTAGATTTTGTAGAAATTCATTTTTTTTTTGTTTCTTTTTGTACCATGAATTTTAGCTTTTCGTGATTTCAAATGTTTGAAATATATGGATATCAAATCTCTCATAATCAGAGAGATTTTATATATTGATTCGTGAGATTTTGTTTTCCCTACTTTTTCTCTTCTTTTTATTTATTTAACACATTAAATATATTTATCAACAAAGTTTTTTATATTTCTCGAACTATTCTTATTTTTTTATTAGGGATAAACATATTATTAAATATAAAATTATAATTCTTATTTTCATTGAATGTTAACAATCACAGTAACCAAACAATAATCATTTTAAAATCTATTTTCAATTATCCGAATAGTTAAAATCTATAGTCCGAACAGAACTTCTCTTTCAATGCGTGCATACGAGATTGTGGTCTTCTCGATGTTGGTTTCAATGGACCCAATTTCACCTGGAGTAATGGGAGACCCTCACAACGCCTTGATACAGCTTTGTGCAACCAGGAGTGGATCAGGCACTTCCCAGACACCTTATCCACACATCTTCCCAAGCTCTGTTCGGACCATAGACCGATCCTCATCTGTAGTAACAGTGATCATATTCCTCCTAGGCAGGTTAGACCCTTTCGGTTCCTGGTTATTTGGTTAGCTCATAAAGAATTCCCCTGTACTCTAGAAGCCTCGTGGAACCGAGGAAGGGACTGTTTGTTGTCTTTGCAGGATCTCCAAGCCCATCTTACACGTTGGAACAAAGAGGTGTTTGGCAACATATTCTGGAGGAAAGCTAAACTGTCGAAGCAGCTTATCCGTCTTGAGATTCAGAATGAGGCGACGGCGACGGAGGCTTCCCTTCGACGGGAAGGGCATATTCGGGAGGAACTGGAATAGACGTTATGGCAGGAAGAGCTATTGTGGCTTCAGAAGGCAAGGGCTAACCAGATCATGAATGGAGACAAGAATACACGATATTTCCACACTATGGTCCTTACGAGACGCCGGAAAAACAGAATAACCAAACTCCAGATGGATGATGGGACTTGGATAGAGGATCCAGAGGCGCTGAAGTCGTTGGCCTGGGAGTTCTATGTCCGTCTCTACTCGGATGATAGCACTGGGCAGCAACAAATCCCAGCAAGCTTCAATGTTTTGACGGAGGCAATGACATCGCACTTAGCCGACAACCCAACTCCAGAGGAGACATATCGTATAATCAAGGATATGGGAGGGCTAAAGGCTCCGGGGAAGGCTTTCATGCTACCTTCTACCAGAAATGTTGGGACAGGGTTGGAGCTGATTTCCATGACCACATTGTTGCTTGTTTCAGGAACCCGGAGAGCATCAAGATGTGCAATGATACCCTCTTTGTGTTGCTGCCGAAGGTGGAATCTGCGAAACAGGTAGCCCAGTTCAGACCCATTGGCCTCTGCAATGTGAGCTACAAGGCCCTGGTGAAGTGTCTAGAGCTAACCGACTCAAAATGTTCATGCCTCAGCTTATTGACCTGAGCCAGTCAAGCTTTGTACCCAAGAGACATATTACGGACAACATTATCATTCTGCAGGAAGTGGTACACTCAATGTCTCTCAGGACGGGGGCTAAAGGACAAATGATCCAGAAAATTGACCTGGCCAAAGCATATGACAGGATTAACTGGAAGTTTTTGGAATCAATTCTGCGGGCGGCTGGTCTTCCCAATGATTTCGTTAACCTTGTCATGGCTTGCGTGACAAGTGTTCGTTTCCAGGTGCTTTGGAATGGTAGTTGTACCAAACCATTCCAACCAACCAGAGGTCTTCGGCAGGGATGTCCTCTCTCACCTTATCTCTTTACTTTATGTATTGAAAGACTCAATCACTGCATTAAAGACTCGGTTGGCAGGAAAGCCTGGAGACCGATTACCCTATCTAAGAATGGTCCAGCACTCACCCATCTGTTTTTTGCAGATGACTTGGTTTTGTTTGCGGAGGCAGATCCTAAACAAGGGAAGGAAGTGCTAGCTTGCCTGAACAGATTTTGTGAGGCTTCGGGGGAACAAGTCAGCAAAGACAAATCTTGCGTCTTCTTCTCCAAAAACACCAAGGAGAATATGAAGAAGAGTATAAGTGACATGTTGGGGATAAAACAAACGAGAAGCTTGGGTCGCTACTTGGGTGTTCCAATCATCCATGGCAGAGTCACTAAGGACACCTACAAGTTTATCTTGGAGAAGATCGATCAACGTCTCTCGGGTTGGAAGGCGAGGAGTCTTTCCTTGGCAGGATGAGTCACCTTGGCAGTCTCAGTGTTGAACGACCTCCCAAATTATGTCATGCAAACGACGGTTATCCCTATCTCAGTATGTGACACCATCGACAGGAAGGTGAGAGCGTTTGTCTAGGGAGTAGAAGACGGAGTCTCCAAGACTCATTTGGTCAAATGGGAAACCATTTTTAAACCAAAGGAGCTTGGCGGCCTGGGACTGCGATCAGCAAGAGCTCTCAATCTATCCTACTTAATGAAGTTGGGATGGGCTTTCTTGAACAAATCGGACGAGCTATGGATCCGCATCCTGCAAGGAAAGTACTTCAAAGTCAACGAGGCAGGAGCTTTGGTCATGAAGAAAAGTAACTTCTCGCGGCTTTGGAAAGGAATAGTTGATACTTGGCCAATTCTCAAGCAGCGGGTCGTCTGGGACATTCGTGAAGGCCACAACGTGCATTTTTGGACAGATCCGTGGTTGACCGACGGTACGATTCTGAGAGAGCATGTCACAAGCAACGGAGAGGGAATTAATTGGCATGCCACTGTGGCTGAAATGGCGTCAAACGAAGGTGAGTGAAAGTGGCAGGAGTTCGCTCCAAACTTGAATCAGAATTTGGTTGCTTTGGTTGCAGGTACTGACCCCCCAATGTAGGGATCGGGAGAAGACATCACAGCTTGGGGTATGGAATCAGACGGAAAGTTCAGGCTCCGATCAGCATACTCAGTGGCAGTGGAATGGCTGAGCGGCATGGAGAGCGAGACGGAGACGACAGACGACCAACCTCACTGGAAGCAACTTTGGAAATGGACAGGCCCTAACCGAATCAAACATTTTCTGTGGTTGGTTTTTCACAACAGGTTGATGACCAATGCGCAGCGAAAGAAGAGGAAACTGACAACAGATGACACGTGCCCGACCTGCAGAAATGGACTGGAAACCACCGAACACATACTGCGCCAGTGTCCGAGCTCCCAACAGGTATGTCATAGGCTGGGTATTCAGGAGTCTGTATTAACGTGCGGCCTTGGATTTGTAGCTTGGCTAGATGAACACTTCAAGAGGGATCAGGAAGGGCTTCTGTTCGGCGTAGCAGCATGGTACCTCTAGAAAAGACGCAATGAGAAGGTCTTCCACAACTTGGTTCAAGAAGACCATGTACTGACGCACCGGATTAGATGTTGGACGTCAACTATCAGGCAAGCTCGGGAAGATGACAAGGCTTCTCATTTAGATGCGCCCAGGAAGACATCCCAACAGTTTGCTTGGATCCCGCCACCACAGGACTGGGTGTGTGTCAATACTGACGGTTCAGTGAGGCAACCAGGATCAGAAGCAGCAGGGGGTGGTCTTATCCGTGATTGGACAGAGAAATGTATGGGAGCATTTGTAGAGAACCTCGGAGTTTGCACGATTACTCGAGCAGAGATCATGGCGGCCATCCGGGGTGTGCAGGTGGCGTGGGAGAAAGGCTACAAGAAAGTTCACCTCCAATTGGACTCCACTACTGCTATCAATGTCCTTACCTCCACAGAACGGACGGAACACAGGTACCATAACCTGGTTCTACACTTTCAGGGTCTACTGCATCAGAACTGGGACGTCAGGATTTCCCACATTTATAGAGAAGGAAACAAAGTGGCGGATTTTCTTGCCAATAAAGGCCACTATGTTAGTATAGTTTTCATGATTTTGAGATTAAGAACTCGAGCTTGTCCTTCTGGATTTTGTATGACGTTTTGGGTATTTCCCAAACCCGTTTAATTTAAGTACCAGACAGGGGCGCCTTTTAGCGTCATTTTTTACGCACACAAAAAAAAAAAAAACGATTCCTTTCACTCAGTAGCACCAGAACAAAATAGACGACGGAAGGAGTACGTCTCAGTCTCTTAGGAACAAGTTAAATTGACGACTATTTTGTCCCATGTAAGTACGTGTACATATTTATCATCATTATATATACAATGTAAACGATAGTGCAAACGCTCATCAGCAGCACAACAACTAATACTTAAAATCATAATACCATGAAACACTCCAACTCATGTTCCTCCCACCGTTCGTGGTCGTGTTCTTCTTCTTCATCTTCTTCAGTGTTGGCAATTTTAGTGGTCGGATGCATTAGCCAAAACATGTTTGCCGCCGGATTGAGCCTATGCGGCCGCGGCGTGCCGCAAAATCCCAAAACCTACTTCGCATCCGTGGAGAAGGTTCTGGGAGAATTAGTGCATTCGACGCCGGGGAAGGACACGTTTATCGACAAGGCGAAAAGCGGCAAGGTCAGTGGTGCCGCAGCTTGTTACACCGAGAAGCCGGCCACATGTAAGAGCTGCCTCCAGCATACCAAGGCCAGGCTGGAGCGTTGCAAGGGCTCCACTTCCGGCGGCAACTTCAACGAGGTTTGCAACATGGAGTTCTGGCGAACTGGTGACAATTAGTGACCGAAAATTTGAAAGACTAAGCTTAGTGTGGGTGCTTCTATATGATCACAAAATAGAGTTTAAGTAGTTTGCGTGAATTAGCTCGTGTGAAGAGCCAGTCGATCTCAATAATTTGAGTTGTTTAGAGTGGTCATGTATGGATTTGAAGTTGCATGCAGGGGCGGATACATGAGGGTTTAGGGTTGTCCCGGGACACCCCTTAAATTTGGGAATACGATTATTCAACCCCCGGTAATAGTTTTGTATGGATAAAAAAAATTATAATTAGTGATTCGGGACACCCCTACAACGATAATCCTATCCTCAGTAGTAGTTTGCGTATACTTAAAAAAAAAAGCGATAGTCTGTGTTATTCAAAGTTAGGTTATACTATATTTTTTAAACATTGTCCTCCAATAAGTTGCAACTCATTTGTTGTTTAGGATATACAGATTTGTTGAGCAATTTACCAAGCCTATTTGTTCTTCTTTTTCAGAATATAAAAACACGTCGTGGCCTTATGTTAAAATTTGTACTAGTCCGATATTTTTGTATTTATGAATTATTTATTTTATTTTAATTTTTTTTTAAGAGGACACCCCTGTTAAAAATTTCTAGATTCGCCATTAGTTGCATGTACAGACATGTCATACCATGTGCTCTAAAAACAATAGTATCATTTCCTTTCCACTCATAACTTTTGTTCTATAAATGAAGCCTACACAAAGCCATCTGATACTGATAGAGCTGGTACTTATAGTGCGTGGTGGCTTAAAAGGCTATACACGTAATGCAGTTAGAATACGAACATTTTTTACATTGCACGAGAAATGCAGAATCATATGTTATTTGAGAAGTGTTACAAATATATTAGTATAAAAATATCTACCATATATATAAATACAGGAAATCATTTTAGTTGTCTAAATATTGTAGATTTCAAATGCATAAATGTAACTAGTGATACCCAAAATGTTCATTATTTGTGTAGAATCGTAAAGAACTATGAACTATAAAAAAAACAGGTGATTATTTTGCAAAACAAATTATATAAAGAGCAAAGTAGGCGACCAACACTAAAGTGTTTTAAAAGAATATTATAGACCTACAGTCGTTTCTGATAAAAAAAAAAGTTATCTGTCGAATACATTTTATTTACGATTAAATTAATTAAGCTGCCGCATGGATCACAAGAATAACATAAGTCCACAGGAAATCCATTGCCGTATGAATCACAAAGGAATACGTCTTCAAACATAGCAAACTAATTTATACAGAATGGACGAAGCGTTTTGTCCATTTCCACATGTTGGCAAAATTTTAAATCTGCAGGCTCACCCTCAGCCAATGCTTTCTTATTATCCTAATAATTTTTCTAAATCTGCAGGGGTTCTAGGTACTGGGCCCTCCAGCCCATATGCTGTTTTGAGCCATAAGTGTGAGTGCAAGGTTCATATTAGGCCTAAATGTCCAAGTTCACATTATCAAGCCCGCATTTTAAAAGGAAGGTATTTCTCGAATTCTGAAAGTTTCTTAGAGGCTTCTTGTGGATCCAATCCGTCCTGGGGTTGGAGAAGTATCATTCATGGTAGAGGGTTACTCTGTCAAGATTTACGGTAGCAAGTGGGTTCGGGTCTTTGAGGATGCTTGGTTACCTACTTCTCCACCTTCTATTCCTTTACGTCATCCCGGTGCTCCCCTTTCTTCCCCATTTGTTGCGGCGTTGATTGATCCAGGGAGTCGGACTTGGAATATGGCGGTCCTTCGTTTATTCTTCTCGACTGAAACAAGTAAGATCATCTCCTCTATTCCCTTACGGAAGGAACCTGTTCTTGATGAATTAATTTGGCATTTTGATCCTTCGGGAACTTTCCAAGTTCGTTTAGCTTATCATCTTGCCTTTCAATTACAACGTTATGAAATTGGTCGTCCTAGAGTAAATCAGGTTGATCGTGAGCTTTGGTTATGGAATTTAAAATTACCTCCGAAACTAATCTTCTTTGTTTGGCAATGTTTGAATCGTATCCTGCCAACAAGAGAGCTTTATTTCAGCGAGGAATGAACATCCTCCCATTTTGCCCGGTTTGTGGTCGTAAGGTTGAAAGTTTATAGCATATGTTCTTCACCTGTTCTTTTGCTTGCCGGCTTTGGAACTTGGTGGGTTTACGGTCTGAGTATCAATCATGGGATAAGCGGTCGTTCGCAGGGTTCTTTCGGGCGGTTCTTTTTGACCGGCGCAATGCAGAACACAATTCTTACTTTACTTTGCAGGTGATTGCTATGTTATGGAAAATTTGGAAAAACCAGTGTTTTGTTCTCTTTGAGCACCAGCAGGCTCCTTTGGTGACGAGGGCTGCGGAGTGGCGCCATCAAGTGAATGAAATTGAGACGGCATTCTTCTTTACTCCAATCCAGCAGCACATTGGTGTTTCAGCCCCAGCTCCTCGGCAGCTTTTATCGCCACGTTTTCATGCTTGCTTTGATGGTGCAACTAGGCGTGGTGATTCCGGGGCTGCTTCTTTTGCAATTTGTGAAGGTTCTTTTGATGAGTGAATGCAGCTCTTTTAGCTGCAACGAGTACAATTTATCCAGGGATTGCGGATGCTCATGTCTTGGAAACTTTGGCACTAAGAGATTGCTTAAGGGAGTGTGCTCGTAGGCATTTGACTCCTCTGCTAATTACGGGTGATGCTAAAGTGATCTTGGACAAGTGCTTGGTTGGGGATGTCAAGGATTCAAAGGTGGGTTCTATTTTGCGTGAGATTGGATCCTTGCTGGCTGGTTTCGATGGAAATTGTGAACTACGATTTGTAGGTCGTCAGAGAAACAGGGTGGCTCATTTAGTGGCCAAAAAGTCCCTGAGTTTGTCGCCTCGGGTCCTGTCGAGGTTCGACTATGTGTCTTGGTTACGAAGTTTGTAATTGACGTTGTGTGGATCTTATCTTCCTCTTCCCGGAGATGGTTTGAATGGCAAAAAAAAAAGCCCGCAACACTTATTTTTCTTGCCCAACTTTGTACATCACTGAATCATTCCAACCTATTCACTCTTCTCAACAATAGATTCTGGCGCAAATCATCATCTCACCGTGGCTGGCATCTCAATCAGTTAGAGGATAATAATGCTTTTTTTTGCATGGGGATCTTCATGAATAGGTGTATGTGAAACTCCCTCCGGACTTTGCGAAACCAAGGGATAGTCGTGTTTGTCGTCTTCACTTTCATAAATCTCTTTATGGCTTGAAGCAGTCATCTCGGAATTAATACATGAAATTCACCAAGTCTCTTCAGGGGTTCGATTTTTAGCAGTCTAAGGTTGGCCACTCTCTTTTCCTGTATCGTCGCAATGGGGTTTTCACCTTTGCGTTGATCTATGTTGATGATATTATCTTGGGAGGTGATGATCTTCCTACTGTACAGCGTGTCAAGGACTTCTTTGATATGATCTCAATCGGATCAATCTTGAAGCTGGAATTGCTTGAGGAAGAAGGAAGTGGAGTTTGGAAGAAGAAGGAAGGAATTTGGCTAAGTGTTGGGTCAGGTTTGAGTTACCTACTTTGGGAGCTCATATCTCCCAAGCCATTCAATGAAAATGTGAGTTTGAGGGATCAATGTGATCTTCACGTCTTTATAAGTCGATTGATAGGTCATGGGGCTCAAGGAGATGCCAGGAAGGATGTTTACCAAGCCTCACAAAATGCTATGGAGAAACCTGGAATCTGTCCAGATTTGACTAAGGCAGAAACTATGATCAAGGTGCTACCTTTGAAGACCCATAACTTGAGTTTGGGAAATGAGTTCGAGCTGATTCAAGTTGGAGGATACAGAGGAAGTTTCCTTCTACAACGACAAGGGATTGGGTGAGATCGAATCATCTCGGATGACTATTGTCGAGGGCTTCAAAGAAGCTATCTCGCACTGCCAGTAATCCGTGTCAAACAAGGATTCCCAATTCAATTCGGTTTATGTTTGTAATTTAGTTTCCTTGCTTAGTTAGGTTAATTTCAATCCTTATTCTAGTTTGTTTGTAACTATGTAAGCCTATATAAAGGCCTCAAGCTCGTTTGTATGATTCAGATTGCATTGAATAAGAAAAACCCCAAAATTGAACAACTTGCGAGTTGATTGTTGAGCTTAGGATTTGGTTGCGATCAAACCTAGGACAATTGAGTCTATTAGCTGAGTTTTTCACCCTCAGTTACTCGAAGACAACCCCATATCTCGAGTGCTTCTTCCCAGGTGTGAAGAAACCCTCAGATTCCATCTGTTTTTGGTGCTCGAAGCTAGCTACCTAGGCTGGTTTTGAGACTCTGTTTTGTCAGGTGCAAGGAGTTGACCTTAGTTCAATTGAATTGAGGCTGTGCTGCGTTGATTCTGATCATACACCCTCATAGGGGCGTATTAAGTGGTACCAAGAGTCCGGTTCTACACAGGGCAAGTACGGCGAACTCCAAGGAGGGCGACGGCGCCGGAGTTGTGCACTGGACGCGGTCTCGAGGCCCTGTTCCAGAGGATTCCCTGCTGCTGTCGGAAAGGAAGAAGAAGAAGAAGCAGACGGCGGGAACGCCCCTGCAATCAACCGAAGAAGAACTCACAATGGCAGGACAAACCGTTGACATAGAGGAATTGATGCGCCGATTTGACACAAGTTTAAATCAATTCAGGCAGGAGATTAATCAGAGGATCGACGCCATCACTCGGCCGGAAAACAGAGAGCAAGAAGAGGACGATCGTGACGACGAACATCCCAACGGTAATCCGGCGTTGATAGAGCGGATTGAGGAGCTGGAACGGCGATTAGTGGTGGGTGAGCCCAACCGTGATCGTCATCGACGAGGGGATCGAGACGATGAGCCTATAATCCCACCTGGGATTAAGCTAGCGATACCGGCATTTCAGGGCACTGTGAACGCGACGGCATATTTGGACTGGGAACGAAAAATCGCCTTGTTTTTCCAGTGCGGTCGTTACACTGAGCAGCAGAAGGTCAGCCTGGCGACGTACGAATTCACCGACTACGC